AAAGAGGGGAACTCTGACACAATATTATGAGACAAGGACTTCCAAAAGTGAGACTGACTGAATTTTCCGTTTTCATCTATTTCTAGGCATGCAGTGTACAATTAAAAGTAGTTTAATTTCTTATTGATACTCCTTTGGAGGAAAGTAAATTCCCACAATCTGGTGGTTGTCAAAGTAAATTCCCATAATCTGGTGGTTATCAACTCAAGATTGCTTCTGAATTAGGAAGGAGGCTTGTGTTCATTCTACTTTCAGGTATTGGACTCCAAATGGGAAAATATCCATGTAAGTACTGTTCCTACATCCTCATGTCCTGTGATTTCTTTTGCATATCAATGTTGGTTATTTAGAAGGTCTTTCTTCCTTGGTGTCCTGAATGTCCTCTGGATTTTGTACTCTTTCTATATATGCATCCATGTTCTTCTCTGTGCCTTGTAAGGAGACAACCCTTTTAAAGTTAGTTTTCTTTTTCTCACTAGAATATCCGGCTGTTGATTCCTGTATTTATCCATGTCTGTTGCAGAATCAAGATTATCTGATGATGATTGAACAAGGCCTTGATATAAGATTATAATACAATGCAATTACAAGATATTTTATTGGTTTTTAAATAACTTCAGCATTTGTTTTTACTATAGGTAACTGGGATATCTAGTCTCTGAATTTTTTTCACCCAAGTTGAACATTCATGCAGTCAATTCAGATACTGGTTGCTTACTCTTACAAATTTGTATAACCATTTCCCTAGCTATCTTGCAGATAGGACATCATCATAGATCAAAGGGTTTTTGGATGTGTTAGCATTTACAGTTCTGATTTGTTAATTGCCAGAGTACATTACAGAACCAAAGACACCAGAATACTGGGTGAAATCTCAATGAAGGCACCAGATCAACTTCTGCATGTTTAACCTTTGTGAATGTGAAGCTGTTAAGGTCTTATTAATTGCTCCTTGCCACCAGTCTGTGGAGGACAACCTACAATCCTGGCCACAGCCTGGGTTGTTTGGTGACTCCCATGGGATCCCTTTAGTCAACAATTTAATTAGATGTGACCCAACTTCATTTTGTGATGAAATGGACAGTTGGGTCTCTGTCTCCCCTATTATTTAGAGAGTTTATTTAGAACCCCTTTAAGCATGTGTATACTTTAGAAAGCTCCTACTGTGTTAGGTTTACACAATACTCCTCAAGTGCCCTTTAATTTTAGCCATCTTTCCTTACATTCCTTTCTGCCAGCCCTCTCCTCATTTGATCTTCAAAGTAGTTTTAATTTGCATTTTCATGGTGGCTAAAGATGTTGAACATTCTTAAGTATTGTTCTGCCATGTGTGTTTCACCTTCTCAGAACTCTTAGTTCTGTACATTTTCAAAATTGAGCTAACATTTTTCTTGTTCAGATTTTACATTCATTTATATT